TCCAAAGGTTCCCAGACTATGAATATTATGGACCTTTGCAATGTTTTTAAAAGAGGTACAGCGGAGACAATTAACAATGTAAATTTAAAAATGCAACATCTTTAACAAGAAAATGAGCAGGTTAACACTGAGAAAGGAGAGAGGATGAACTGCATGGAAAAGGCAGTCCTTCAAAATTGAAAGGCTGGAGTTCCTGAAAACTCACTCCACAACACTTACCTTTCCTTATTTTCTCATTGACCCATGAAAACTCCATGCCAAATTTGCCCAGCTCACAGACCAGCCTTTCAGAATTCACTGAATCCCAGCTTTGCATCTAGTTCATAAATCCCTCCACCCACACTCTTCCTGACAAACATTGTTCTGCCAACAATGTCCCACTGAACTGCCGACTTGAAAGTCCCGAGTACTAGAGAATCCTAACCATCCCAATGTTCGCCATCATACTGGGCAGCACTTGCATCCCTGTGACTCTGTCTCCTTTATCTCATTCTCCCCTTAAGCCTCTCTGAAAATAAATCCTCTGCCACTGATAGCCAAGCCCAGGCTTCCACGTGAGCCCTGTGTACTTTGAAGATTTACTTATTTTACTTGAAAGTCACAGTTACACAGAGAGAGGAGATGCATAAAGAGAGAGAGGGAGAGGGGGAGAGAGAGGACTTCCATCCACTGGTTCACTCCCCAGATGGCCACAATGGCCGGAGTTGTGCCGATTGAAGCCAGAAGCCAGGGCTTCTTCTGGGTCTCCCACGCGGGTGCAGGAGTCCAAGGTCTTGGGCCATCTTCTACTGCTTTCCTAGGCCATGGCAGAGAGCTGGATCGGAAGAGGAGCAGCCGGGTCTCAAACCGGCACCCATACGGGATGCCGGCACTGCAGGCGGCGGCTTTACCCGCTACACCACAGCGTTGGCCCTGAGCCCTGTTTACTTTGAAGGGACCCATTATTATCTCCTGCATCCCTGGATCTGGATCTTACCTTGGCTGTTCCTCTTATGTGGCCATTATGTTTTTCAGTTAATTAAAATCTATTTACTTAGGAATGATATAACATTTGCTCTCTGCTGAGCATAGATGGGTTGTTTCTCTGAGGCCTCTCCCTACTTAAAAGCCTTCCGTATCTTCCAGTGTTGATTTAAAGATGTTCATGATTTGAACTCAGTCAGCTGTTCTAACCTCAGCTCCCAGAAGTTCCTCTCATCATGTACATTCTCCCAGGCTATGGGCTTCTGATTTCACCCTTCCCCTTTCACAGAACACTCCTTAAAGGTTTTCTAACATCCACCCACTATCAGAATTAACCTCCTTTTTTTTTTTTGGGTGCTTTCATAACCCTTTATTTTAAATACTGATAGTTTCCCATGAACAGTTGAGAAACTTTTCTGCCTCCCAGACTACACTACACATTCCTCTAAAGAACCAGATTGACGGCTAACCTTTTAGTCCCACTAGTACACAGCACAGTGCTTGCTATTTAATTGACCCTTATAAATTCTTGGGGAGTTGACCTGAAAACACCATCTCTTTACTCTGAAGGCCTTATCATCGAGTTGCAGACTAAGACTAATAGACATGAAACAGAAGTAGGCAGTACAGTGGTCTGACTGCTAGGTGCCGTGGAAGGTTAAAAACAAGGCCAATGAGAAATTAAGTATTCAAGGACCAATTCAAGGAGAACATTAGGAACATTGCAAAAACAACCAGTTCTTGGGAGAAAAGTTAAGAAGAGCAGACGCAAGTACACAGAAGCAGACAGAGGCACACTGGTTGGGGAAAGTAGAATGCCCAGTAAGCTGGTCTGACTACCACTGCAGTTATCTTTGGAGGAAAAAACCCAAAGCATGGTAGTATAGCCTGGGCAGAACACTAAGGGTCATTCCACCCAACATTTTGCAGATGCTTCAGTTCAAGGTTTTGAAAGCAGAGTATAAATGTGAAAAACTACTTCAGAATAGAAGATCTTTGCTTTTCTTGAGACCCAATTAAAAGCATCTGAAATATCTCCCTTCACTGTTTTTTCTCAAAGTTTAATTTCCTTCCAAGTGTATGATTATTAAGCTTTTTCAGAGCACAAAGTTGGATGTGTTCAACTGTAGTGTGTACAAGGACATCCTAGAGACCATGTGTCTAGGGTTCTAGCTTCTCCCTTCGCAAGACGTCCAAAGATACTTCAGTGACTCAAATGCCCCCTAGATCCATCATTGCCAGTTCCTATTTTGAAAGGTCAGGGCTCAGGTATCTGGGGGTTCCTTCTGGTCATTGGCTCTGCTGAGGAATAAATGAGATACTTACTACCATGTCATTAACTACAGTCCTGGCTACATCCTCTAGTTACAATGATCTTCATCTCCCTTATGCTAAACGTCTTTCTGAACCTGGGAATCTTCAGCTGACTAATTCTGCTGAATTACAATCACACCACATTCTGTTTTGTATATTTGTTGGTTTTTGGTTTTTCATTTTGTGTTTCTTTATTTTGCTCAGTGCCAGCCACAGGATCTAG